TCGGGCACCTCACCCACGCTGCGTGACGCTACCCCAACCCCAACCCCAAACCCAAACGCAACCCCAAACCCAAACCCAAACCCAAACCCAAACCCAAACCCCGAACCCAAAGTAAACCAGATTAGTATTAATAAACAATTGAGATTTTGCAACTATTATCGGCATGAATTCTAATTAGATTTTCAATAAGAATTTGAAATTATAAAGAGAAATTTATGTTATAAATATTAGATGGAAATTATATCCTTACTGATTCTCTAACATATTAAATGATTTGATTCTTCCATTCAAATAAATCACTTCCTTTTAATAGATCGAATAGCAAATGAGCATTGTTAGATGAATTTGATTTAATTCCCAGATTTATTAGATTATATGTTTGATTATTTTCTGAATCTGATTTGACCAATTGTGCAATTGGAATATTCAAATTGTATTTATATTAAATTACCAAAAGAATTATCACTACCTTCAGAAAGCAAATCTATCGAATTATAAGCATGATATTCTTCTCTGTTGGGTCTAAGTGACTTCTCATATAAGAAACTTAATTATTAATATTTTATAATTAATTTATTATTTGATAAGTAAAGATACATCTATGGCTCAAGTGGATCACTTCTTGTATAGCCAGGAGAAAAACTGTCAAACGAGCATAAAATTCTCATAAATATCTATTTTCAAGGAATAAAAAGATAAATAAGACATAAAGTATAAAGTGAGTAAAATAAAATTCCAGGTTGGAACTAAAATATTTCATTTACTCACAATCTTAATCATTTGGGAATGAATACAGGTTATTAGATTAATCAAAAAATAACCAATGAATTAAAATAAAAGGAACAAGCTCCATAACAATACATGGAGGGAGAAGAAATTTCTATTGATTAAATAAAAGAAGTGCAGTGGTCAGCAACAGCAAAATTACCATAAGAAGAAGTTGAAAAAAAGAAAAATAAAGTGAGATGAATATTGATGATGAATGGGCAATTTAAGGGCTTGTTAAAAAATACAAATAAGATTTGGAAGAATGAAAAGAGATCATAAATTGAATACATTTTAATGAACAGCAATTTAATGTTAAAAAAAATGCAACGATTACATTAAAAGATATGGTAAATGTCCTAAACCATAATAATGATTGTATAATATGTATATCTTAATATATGGATAAAATTGTAAAATATACATCTTATTCATCCTTTATATATTTGATTCAATTGATCTTTCGTCTCTTAAAGGGAATCTCTAATTTAATCAAAATTGCTGTTTTTCAGATTAATTGTTTGATATTGATTATTGATTAAAGTTTATCTAAGTATTTACACTCTTAAATTAATACAAGGATTTAATATTTTGTTTTATAAGTAAAGCTAAAATTAAAAATGTTTTTACCACTATTTCTCAATTATTCTTATAAAATAATTATAATGTAGAGTCTGGAGAACTATTAATTTGAGCTAATAAAATTCAAAATTTTTGCATATTACCAATTTAATCATTTATTGAGAATATTATTAGCAGATCTTAATCCCTATTATTTTATTCTTAATACTTTAATCATCAAAAGGAAAGGGTAGTTTATTAATTAGATTCATGGATTTAAGCAGATAGAATAAATTACTTGATATAATTGCTTTGATATTTAAGTCAAATTCTATATAGCTCATCTTAAGTAGGATTATTAATTGATCCAAAGTTTGATGTGAATGTATTTTAGAATTTATTGGGTTTATGAGTTAATTTTTATATTTAAAATAATCGAAATGAATTCTAAGGGCAAAAGGGCTTTGGGTAAATGTTATAAAAAATAAAGTAGTTCCAATTCAAAAATAAAGCAAGCCATCTTTTGATTATGAGTCAGCTCTGAAGGAACATCGAGAGGTAGAGGAAAGAATAAAAATGGAAACTGACACTCAAGATCCAAGGTAATAGGAGTGATTTATGTTTAAAGGAAATTTGTAATGAATCTGTTGAATTATCGTGATAATTCATTCGTATTGGATAACTCTTTTATTAATTCATAAGTGGCAGCAAAAAAGCAGGTATTTTGATAATTAATTTGAAAGATGTATATAAGCTCAAGGCGAATTAAGAGTTAAATACCTTGCTTGTAAGGGTAAACAAAAAATAACTCCTAAATTCAATATGCATCTCCAGCGCAAAGTTTAAAGTTTGATTTTGATTTGAAACCAGATTTCAATTCCAAACGATCAAATTTTGTTCCCAAGTTTATAAATTCTGGAATAAACTTTGATGTAGAAGTAAAAGGAACACT